CATCTGCTCACCGTCCTCCGATAATAATTCGGAAAGGCGAGAACAAATTACTGTTTCATAAGCGATTCGAGGCTTCCTCATAAAGTTTATTAGATGACAGGACTCGTATTGAAAAATAAACCTATTTTCACTTTTTGTGCTTCCAAATATCAAAAGCACCATTGGCCGTCATGTCATTAGGAACTTTCCACCAACAGTGCTTTTTTGTGATTACGGTAGGTACAGAGTCTACAAAGATCACCCTAATACTCTTCAATAAAATCATAAAAGAAGCGCTAGAATCAGAAAATCAGTGCACATGTAACTGAATTTTACAATTTAAGCCTGTCTCTCAAATTTTGAATGAGCCTTTCCTGCCTGGCACGCAGGTAGCCGCAAAAAAATTAGCCCCACGCCTTCAAGCCAGACCACGCCTGCTTCATGTACTACTTTTCGAAATGTGCAGCGTGATAGAGCAAATTTTTGTTTAATAGTTCGAAGAAGATTTTTTTCGCAAGGTTTATGAACAGATATGTTCATCTAACTGCGGGCATGTGTACGCTGCATACTAAAAATGTACTAAATAAATAATTGAATGTATTTGCACGGAGGAAAACAGAAATTCAATGTCTCAAAAGTGCAAAAGTTGTTCTATGGTACCATTTCAAGTACATTTTTGTATGAAAAACACAGAAAAAAACATACTTAGATTTGATATGCTGCGCTCTGTAGCTTCCAAAGGCACCATCAGGGAGAGCAGCGCATAAAGTCTTCAGAAAACATGTTCTCAGATTTTTCTGCCGCGTTTCAAATTTTTGACGATTTGATCTTGAAAATTACGAGTTTGAGTGATTTCCCTATTCTCCTATGTCTGTTATCTCTGAAGACTTTTGTCTTCAAAGTGCAGCGAAGATGCTCTTAGAAGGTAGATGAAATTATCAGTTTTTGTAGGCAATTACGGTTACCTAGGGAGCAGTCATGAATTTTCTAAATTCAAAGCGACGGAACTTCAAATTAACCCAATATACCTCGACTTTAGCAAATTTTATAACGAAGGCTTGGCTTGCTTGAAATATGAAAAATTTGAGATTCAAAGCAAGGGGAGAACCTCGGTTTTGTAAGAGGTAAACACGCGGTGCAATTTTTCCTTTTATCTTTACTTAAAATTGCCCAAGAACTTGTCAAAGCGAGATTTTGAAGCCAAAATATAATTTACTTCTGTCTGATAAACATCTGAACCATGAATGGTAATGAAGGCAATTATTGGGTCGCGCCGAAAGTTCAATTTTTCATGTACCAAAAATTTGTAGTTTTGCGCAATCTCAAGGAATTTGCTCGCACTTAATCCTGTTAGAAAGAATAAGGTCTTTCGCTTTCGTACTTTTCGCAGAGCTTCTGATTCGCAGTGATTGCGTAGATAAAAATGGAAAAGTAAAACCCTGTTAGCTTGAGCTATCATTTTGAGTTATAATAGGTCGCCAAAAATTTGAAAAGCTGCGAAAAAATCTGAAAACGTCAATATAGAAGTTATATGGCATGTTCTTTATAACTGAGAAAAAATCGTGCTGTTTGGTTTGAACGCTTCTGCGAAAGCTTGTGAATTTCGAATCTACAATGAAAAACGCCAAATTGATTAAATTGTCACATTTCTCAAAAATTATAACTTTTCACAGAGACATCCAAAAAACACAATTTGTCTCACTTATAAAGACCATGCCATATAACCTCTACACTAACGATTTCAGATTTTTTCGCAGCTTCCTTCGTGGCGACCTAACTCAAAATGATCAAAGCTTAAAGGGTTTTTACTTTTTTATATACGCAGTCAGTGCGAATCAGAAGCTCTATGAAAAGTATTTAGAAACGAAACAATTATTTTTTCTACCAAAATTAAGTGCGAGCACATTTGTTCAAATTGCGCAAAGTTATGAATTTTTAAGAATGAAACGGCAGAACTTCCGGCGCGACCTAATATTATCATTATTGAATTCCATTCCATCTTATTCGAAAAAGAAAATGAATGAGCACTGAGGCTCAGAAACTAATTCAAACTAATTCAGCTAATTTTTTAGAATTTCCTAAATACCAAATTCAAACCAAGTTGGGCACAACTCAATAAAAAATCACAAAAAAAACAGATTAATCCAGGAAATGAGACGACATCAATCAACAAAACCTATTTGTTGTCCAGACAAGAACCAGCATCAAAAGTTATGTGGGTGGGGGAGAAGATCCGGCAAAGTTGTCTGTATAAAGTGTTGAAGAAGTTCGTAACGTACTCTTAGAATGAGCCCATGTTTTGAAAGCTGCCAAAAAGTAATTGTTGTATGCATAGCCACGGCGCTCCGGCCACACTCTGCCTAAAAGCGCTCAAAGGCCCCCAAAATGCTCAAAAGCGCCAATTGCCCAAATTCTTCTAATTATTCCTCGTTTTTATCAAGATAGAAGACAGGAGGAAGATACCTTATCAAGACAGAAGAACAGGAGGAAGAATAAGCAGGAACAATGTTGAAGGAATAAAGAAATGTCAAGATAGCGCAGTTATATGGTTGAGAGACGCCATTAACGCG